ACAACTCCATATATGTATGTATATATTTCTCGGAATGTTATTAGTGTTAATTTTACTATTTTTATATCGGGCTATTGCTAAATCCACTTCTTATTTGGTTCTATCACTTTTTATAATGAAGTGGACAAGTTTACTTCTTAATATTTATAAAAGAAAGAAAGAAGTGAAGGGTAACATTGTAAATTTCTTATAAATGTTGTAGATTTAGCCAAAAAATGGAATGGATTTATCACTACCATGTATACCCTATTTACACGCTATGTTCCCACTTGTTTTCATAATTTACACGTTTATTTTGCTGTTTATTACTATCATATTTATGTTAATATATCTCAATTTTTAAGGAAAAATATAAAATGCATTGAGGAGTTTTTTTTTCTCCCCTCCAATAAACATTTATAAATGTAATCAGGTTAACTCAGGCAGCTCTAATTTTTTCTGAGTTCATTTAAAAAAAAAAAACATTTTAGTCCCTACAGGCCTTAACTGAAATCCAAATCCATCTATCAGTAAACTTTTGACAAGGAAAAATGCCATACAATACACGAATGTAAAAGGGTGCACTTACCCTTTGGGATAGGGTAAAAAAGACAGGTGAAGCATAATAAGGATAGTTGACACATGATAAAGCTAAGGTTTCAGGCATTTCCTAAGAGCATTACTAGATTGATGAGCAAAGTATTTTTGTCGAAAAAGCACGTAAGGGTACCCGACAAACGACAGAAGTTTTGCCGGCTTGGAAATGGACAGTATTTCGTACCATACGTTGTCGTTCTCATCCAAAGCAATTGAGAAGCGCTCTTCCCCGGCCTGTTGATAAAAAATAAACATATTGATGGATGTTAAATTCACCAGAAGTTGTCACATATCTTTCTTCTTGTTTTGACTGCGTTTTTTTTGTAAGATGAAAAATTATTTGACTCTTTATTTTTGCCCTTGGTAGGGTAGTAATTTGCAGAGGTGAATAATGCAAAAGTAAGGTTAAAATTGTTTTTTGGTAATGTAAAATAAGGAATCAAACATTCAAATATATAGGGAAACGTTTTTATCAAAACAGCATAAAAAAACTCCGAAACTAGTCCAGAACCAGAACCGATCCTACACGGTACTAGTTCCTCTGAAATGAGAGGCGGAACCGACGGTTCCGGAACTAGAACTGGACTGGACCAATATTGTGTCCATGACTAGGCGATGTACATTAGGTCAAGTCCTAAAAGAAACAAGTTTGAGCATAAAATTAAGACTCGTTAAAAAGAACTAACCAAGAAGTGCCCTTGAAGAGTCCCACTGCCAAAACCGAAGGACGCCATCGCCTTGCCTTTCTTATTCCTTTCTTCATTGACATACACCACTTGTAAAGGCATCATAAGCCAAGGGAAGAATTCCTTCACGCAAACGCAGAACTTCTCCCCGACCTTGATCCTAGTCGTTGGATCCACAAATGTCCAATCCAAACTGAAATGCCTGCAAATTGGGTGATTCTCCTCATGGATACATTGTGGGTGTGGGTGATTCTTTGCTTATACAAGGGGATTCTAGAGCTTGTTCTTTTCAACTTTATATTCCAGTTAATTAATTATCCATTCTCCATAAATCAGTTACAATTACTACAGCAATTAAAACTGGCGAACAGGTCAGGTTTGGGTCATTGGGTTCAACCTACTTCAAGTTTGGGTCAGTTTGGATTGGGAAATGTATGCTCATAACTCAGTGTTATCAGGTTTGGGTCGACCCAACGAGTTATGATCTTACTGTGTTTTGAACTCTAATTAATTTGTAGATCCATACAACTATATTACAAATAATACTATTTTAAAAAGTATGTTAAAAATACAATATCATTAAAACTCGGCTATAAAGAGAACATGCTTATACACTAAAAAGGACTAGTAAGAAAACAAATTACTCAAAGATGTGTTCAAAATCTTCGGATTTAGTTTACAAAAATCCGGGTTTAAAATCCAATATTTTCTCGTCGGATCTAGACACAAAAACAGGTCATATCGATTTTTGTCAACCTACAATCCAGATTCTAAGGCACTTATTATAACACTCTTGTTTCCATATTCCAATTTTCAAACTCCGACTTAGACTCTAGTCTTCATATTTTTATTATAATTACTTATGAATCAACACTAAAATTTAGACTTCAATTTCTGGACTCTAAACTCCAATTAAAAAATTAAAGTGAAAAGAACCCCTCGAAGTACCTAAGAAATATACCTCCAACATTGAAGGGCACTTTTCCCCTTTTCAAAAGTCTTAGATCCAGAACCAACTAGAACACAGGAATGATTAACAAAGAAGCCGTTTTTGGCAAGTTCTTTGTCTTGCTTTAGTAAAAAAGCTGGATTTGCCGTGGCTCCTCTGTATTCATTGCCATAGTTAAATGAGTTACACCTGTTTGGATTAAAAGGAAACACTTACTTAAAGATGAATATGTATAGACAATATAATAGGGTCTTCATGTTACCAAAAAGTTCTTTACTTGTTAGTGCATTTCTTTTGATCTTCGGGAGATGGGCGGTTCCAGCACAAGAACTCCATCTGTCTCAAGGGTTAATGATAATCCTTCAAAAAAAGGTTGATGCAGAAAAAAATGTTAACTTTAGGCATTAAATCGGCATTATAATTTTCCTGTCATAATAATCACAACAGATCGAGTAACATCCCATAAGAAATAGGAAATGGAGAGGAAATGGTGATTGAGAGAGTGAGAAAGTGATAATTCTCACTAATGGGAGCTGCATGCATACTTGCACGTAGTGGCTCAATTGTTGCGAGACACTTTGGTTTATTGTCATAAAGTTTTTCTTTACCGAGAATATATAGTTTAACTGAATTTGCTATATACTAGTAGACCTTTAGATTCATTCAGTTCAATACGTTACTAGTACAAAAGTGACCTCTTGAGTCATGAGTTCTTCAATAAGTGGGGTATGGAGTTCGCTCACGCTCTTAATGCCCTTGCGATGAGGAGACTTAGAAACTGATAATTCTCACTAGCTAATGGTAGCTTGACCCTGGATGCATATACTTGTACACAGCTTGTAGCTTTTGTGGAGTACTACAAATAATGTCGGTGGCAATTGTTGTGAGATGCCTTAGTTTATTGTCATAATTTTTTTCTAGTTTAAATGGATAGGGTGTGTTCCCGCAGACCTTATCCCGACTATGTAGTAGATGGGTAGTTTCAAATAGACTTCCAACCCAAAGTACGGACAACGAAATCAGAGTAGCATGATCGGAGCACGGGCATCGACAAGTTGAGTACATGAAGAAGACAACTATTCTATAAGTGGACCGACTAGTCGTTGATTAGTCGACAAGTCATAATAAGTACTCCCTCCGTCCCATTTCTTTTTTCGTAGTTTGATTTGGCACAGGTTTCACTGCATGATGTAAAATAATTTGACTCTCACAAAATACCCTTTGAATTAGCCAACCCTCCAACTTTCCCAAAATGCATCTGTTCTTCATCTTCCTCCTCAGAGTCTAATGTTCCTCTTCTTCTTTTAACCCACCAGTGCCTAGCTGCCCCTGCCCAGTGCCCACCCTCTCTCAAACCTCCATTTCTTCTTCTTCAACTAAAATCCGCCCTTTCCCACAAAATCAAAATCCAAACACTCGGTACAAAATGAAATCGAAATCAAATCGCATCACACTACGAAAACAAAATAAAGGGTTCCGGCTCAAACATGCTCTGGTTCACCGAATTTGAGACCCTTGGCCAGAATGAAGAGATTAGTTACCTGAAGAGATGGAAATCGATTCACAGTTTTTGAGACCTTAAAATTTGACCGAAGCCGAACTCATTTCACAGAGAGAATTGAATGGAATGAGTACAACTGAAATCGAAAAAAAAAAAGAAGAAATAGAAAATCGAATGAAGAGGGCAGTGATGCACTTCTTCAAGTGGATTCGATGAGGGAGATGATGATGAGGGTGAGAAATTTAGTAGGAAAGTTGATTTGATGATGACGAAGGACTTCTTTTAATCTGTTCCTACAATTTTTTAAAGCAATGCATCCGACCTGATCCGAATGAGTTTGATGTGAATCAATTTGATTGGTCAGAATGATCATCTAAATCGATTTAATTTAAATTTAAATAACTATAGTAATAATAATACGGAGTATTATTAATAAAATTTACAATAATAATTTTTATTATTAATTATTATAATTGTAATTATTAACTGAAATCATTATTATCATTATTATTTAAATAATTATATTTATTAAAATTATAATTCAAATAATAATTATTGTTCAATTCTACCCCTCCGTTCTTTAAAACCATTCCTATTTTGACTTTGGGCAAAAATAAGGAAAGTGTAATTTTGGTTGACTTTCCAATTTTGCCTCTAATGTGATCGATAAAAGTAAAATGTGATAGTTTAGTTATTAGTGAAAAAATATGATGTGATAGGTATGGTACGAAAAGGTATGTGTAAGGAGGTTTTTTAATAGAAAGTGGAAATGTTTTAAGAAATTGGAAAAAAATGAAAAAGGAATGATTTTATGGAACGGAAGGAATATTATTTTAAATTCTTCTTTATAGTGCTTTTAAATTCATATTGATTTTCATTTGAAATAAAAAATAAAAAATACTTTCTCTATCTAAAGTTAATCATTTTCGGTTTTATATTTTCCAAAATAAACAAATTATTTTGGTATGTTCAGAAAATAAAATAAAATAAAAAAATATAATAAAAAAGAAGAAAAATAGAAAAATAGAAAAAATAAATGAAAAATAAAATGATACAAAAATTCTCTTATTGAAAAGGAGAAAGGGATGCAAAAAGTATTCTCTTCGACCCAATATATTTGTCACACTTGCTTTTTTAGCAGTCGCGAGAACTTTTTTTCTACATTTTCATTAGTTTTTTGATAAAATAAAATATTCTTGACACTTCTTATTTCAGAGAACTTTTCATGTACTTCGTAGTTTTTTATATGTAAATTTTATTTTTTATTTCTATACCAATATGAAAATAAAATGAATTTAAAAAACTTGATATTTTATCTCGGTAATAGAAGTGTTACAAATATTTAAGGACGGAGGGAGTATAAGATGTTCCGTTCCTTCTATAGAGAAGGAAATAATGATTAAACAATATGACACACATTGCTTTTTTCATATTAAACAAAACTATCATTTAAATAAGACAAAATAAATAATTAAACTAAATTATTAACAAGAAAAAGTAACTAAAAGAAAAATATGGATTAAAAAAAAGTCATCTTGGTGCCTATTTGAGAGATCTTAGATTATAAATTTGGATGAAAAGTATATTTGTTATTCATTGTATATGCATTTACATGTAAAAAATTTCTAACTTCGTACATTTTTTTAAAATAATCATAATAGTAATAAAAATAATAGTAAATATAATAATAATAATAATAACAACAACAACAACAACAACAACAATATGGAGGAGTTCAACATCCACTTACTTTGGGTGGCTAGAGTGGTTCTTACCCTCGATATTTCGATAAATCCTCCCACTTGGAGCCAATGGCTCTAGAACCATTCTGATAATAATAATAATAATAATTTTATTATTATTATTATTATTATTATTATTATTTTGTACTTAGCTTCTTAAAATATAAAGTCTGCAAGTATTTGTTTAGTAAATTGAACATATAGAATGTATATGATATGACTTTGATTCGAGTAAGTTTAGTGGTTGGTTATACTGAATACCAAATGATATTCCCAAAAGAAAGTGGGAATAGAGGAAGTATCTGTAACCAACCGCAATAGAAATTGCTTTAGTTCAAGGATAAGAAGGATTCAAACAAGAAATGCCTGTATTCCTAAAGCAACCACACATATTGTGCAAAAAATAAAAACGTGCAGTGCCAACAAGCATCTCAAGGTAGTTCCCAATAAACGTGTGATATGAGAATACCAAGGGGTTTATCATTCACAATTCATAATAAGTCAAAACCCATCATCAAGATTTGATTTGTCTAAGAATGTGCATGAGTAAACTACACTAATTTGAGGAGAAATAGCAGTCATCTGTACACGTGATATGATCATAATAATGAATAGGAAGCTGATCGAACCGAAAACAGTTCAAGCTGGGAGAAAGCGGTGTTCTTGCGAACGGGCAAGAGGGACACAAATTGCTACGCACCAGCACAGTGCGAATGAAAAGCATGCTCACATCTGAGATGGGTTATGATATCCGCAATGGTAGGCTTGCGAGAGCAAATCTGGCACACATCCATCAGAGCCCTCCCCTGCTCCACCCTCTCCACTCTAATCCTGGCCAGCATGCGCAAGTGGCTTGCAAGCATTGGGCTCACCGGATCGGGCCGCCCCACCCTGAGTGTGTGTTCAAGTAAGCCGGGCGCAAGCGGTCGGGCTGGATTGCCCGGTCAAAGGTGGCACTAATCGGCTCACCCGCCTGCTGCGCGGTGCAAAATTCAATCTCCACCACAATAGGGATAACATCTCGATCAGGGTTTTCAATCTCTCTCTTTTCTTGCACAATCAAAAGCAGAACAACACAAACTGTCTGCCTCATCTAGCGACATCCACTAGTCCTGACACATCCTCCACCCTGCCACTATACAAGGACCCTCATGTTTTTTTGCACCGTTCGTGGAATCTCTCCGAACCCACAACAGTACGCTTACCTTCTTCTTCTTCTTCTTCCACAATGAACTTGGTTCTGAACTCAAAGAAAAACACTTTGAAACCACTCTTTGTATTTTGGATGGGTACATATCGTGCCATTACCTCATCATCCATCCTACACGTATGACGGTACGCATATCCAAATCTACTTCCCATCCTTATTTGCCTGTCTTCTAAACCAACAAGAAACAACAACTACAACCACAACCATCAATCGGTCAGTTAAATAGTTCGTAAAGAAATCCAAACATCGAATCAGGGGAATTTTTATATTTACTTCTTTTCTTTTGATATTTTGCAAGATGAGTATTAGTAAAGCAAGAAACCAGAAATTTCGTTATCGTCCTTATCCCTAAGGCTGTGTTTGGTTGGGGGGAAAGGGAGGGGAGGGGATGGAAAATAAATCCCTCCCCTTATTTGGTTCTAAAATTATGGAGGGAAGGAACCCTAAAATTTTGACTCAAATTCCCTCCCCTCCCCTTATTTTCGTTCCCTCCGAATTGGGAGGAAATGTTTATTTTTTAGCCGGAACTGCTTCCTTTTATCATACGGAAAAGCTGCTTCTAGCCTTTCTTCTCTCGCAATAGAAGCCTCCTCCTTCAGCGCCATCTCTATCATCCTCCCTCTCAAGCCTCCTTCTTCATCGGCTCTCCATCAGGTAAAACCAACAATTTGGTCTAGTGTGGAAGAACAAGTTGCAAAATCTCTTTACATATTAACGCATAATGCTAAAAATCGTGAAGTAAATTTTTGGTTCAGGCGTTCGGGTGAGACAATTAGTCGCCATTTTCTTACAGTGTTGGTGGGTATCATTGCGTTGGGAGAAAAATTTGTTAAGCAACCAGATGGCAGTACCGTTCCTCTTGAAATTCAAAATGAGTAATTTTTTCCATATTTTAAAGATTGTGTCGGTGCTATAAATGGAACACATATACGTGTCAAGGTATCTTCAATTGATGCTCCGCAATATCGCGGTAGGAAAGAATTCCCCACCCAAAATGTGTTAGCGGGATGTACATTTGATTTAAAGTTCACATACATTCTCCCGGGTTGGGAAGGCACTGCATTAGACTCAAGGATTATTAAAAATGCATTAAGGAGGGAAGATAAGCTTAAAATCCCCGAAGGTATTTTTTATATTTAAATTTAGTGTGGTTTTTATGTTAGTTAGAGATTTAAAAGTCATTGTAGTAATTGTCATCATGCATGATAGGTAAATATTATCTCGTGGATGCTGGGTTCATGTTAACAAGAGGACTAATAACACCTTATCGAGGAGTCCGCTATCATTTGAAAGAGTATTCCAGGAGAAATCCGCCAATTAAATTATAAAGAGTTATTTAACCTTCGACATTCAAAGTTGCGTAACGCCATTGAACGAGCTTGTGGTGTATTGAAGAAAAGATTTGTTATCTTATCCAATGGAACAGAGCCTACATATGGGATAAAAGTACAAAAAATGATAATATATGCATGCATCATTCTTCATAACTTTCTTATGAGTGTTGACCTTAATGATGAAATAATGAGAGAAGTTGATATGGAGCTTCTTAACCAAGATGCTTCGAATGAAACAATTCATGCTTCAAGTGGTCAAAGTAGCGAGGCATCAGAAGGTGAAGCTATTAGAGAGCACATAGCAACTCAAATGTGGATCGATTACCAGAACAATGAGGCCGCTATTGAGAATGAGCTTGATGCTTAAAGTTGAATTGTATTGAGAAATGTTTTTACACATCTCATTTGCTTTTATCTCATCATATGTTTCAAAATGAGCTCCATGTTTATTTTTATATTTCTTGTACTAAACATATTACTTGTTTGATTTATATTACTTGTGATTTCATATTACTTAGCTTGGTTTGCACGCGTTTGCCTTGTATCTAACTTGGTCTGCAAGTGCACCCTTGTAAATAACTTTGTCTTATTACTTGTTATACTATTGTATTATGTGATAGGATGGCACCAAAAAATTGTAAGGACACAGTCACCTGGACGCCAAGCATGGATGATGCCTTGATTGATGCTTACATGGTTGAATATAATGAAGGCCGCAAAGTTAATGGCACTTTTTCATCTGTAGCTTATGATAATATTGTGAAATATGTTAGTTCAATATTTGGTAAGAAAATTGATAAAGAAAAGGTGAAGAATCGATGGAGATATTTAGAAGAAAGCTATGGGGGAATTCAGGACTACTGAACAAACTATGGCAGGTATGCTCTTTATATCTTGGGTGGGGTGGGTTCGACTTGGGCCCTCTCTTTTGCAACTCTACCGGCCTTGTAGTAAATCAATCATTGTTTAAAACCCCAAATGTACACCGCCCCCTTCTCCACCACCCATATTTATTTTATTTTTATTTATTCATTCTTTTTTTTTTGAATTTCTTGCCTTTTTTTGTGGACAAGGAGAGGGTGGAGGGACAAATGGGGTACACATTTGATGTACTCCTAGCATTTTTCTTGTTCAAATTCTCACCCATTATAACTCTAATAACTAGCCTAAGGTTGCATTCCGTTCGTCTGATCTGATCTGATTTTTTAAAGATTTGATTTGATTTGGTCTAATCTGATCTAGTCTGATCTGGTCTGATCTGGTCTAATTTAATCATCTGATTATAATAACAATAAGTATTCAGCAGAAAAATAAGTTGAACGGAACGCTGCCGAAATCGCACTTTGTGCCATTGATGTCCAATACAAGAACAGTAAGATGTAAAAATTCCTCCGTCGATTTTAATTCAAAGAGTTTGACTTTAGATACTCAAAAGAAAGTTTCCTAAAACTAAAAAACGAGTACTTGAAATTCATTTAATACAATGTTCAAAATAGTTAGATAATCATTTAATAAAACAACTTTTTGATTTTCTAAAAAGAAATATTTATTTAAATCATTTTTATTTCATGTGCAATAAAGTTTTTGTTTTTATTGTCAATCAAAGCATGTCCAAAGGGGTTATTTTGAAAATAGACCATCATAATGAATTCTCGGGCAAATAATATGGTACATTCAGATGTACCTTCCTTTAGGTACACTTGATACTTTTGTAAATTTTGTAAACTTTTTATCCAATGCCCAGAACATATATGAGAACTATTATATATGATAATGAGTACCAGCAGATTTGAGAAGGAGTACCAACACTTACGAAAATTATCATATTCTTATTCAATACAAACATGAATAAACCTGAGTTTTAAATTCTCCATGCTCAGAGAGTATTAATGAGTAAGAACGAATCGAATAGAGGAATAAGTTGATGATGGTACTGAACTTTTTAATTGTGAAAAAATTGAACAATACTTTATTCCAGAATGAACATTTCCTTATTTGAGAATGAGTATTGTTTTTTTAAGAATGAACACTACGCTATTTATTATAATTATATTAGACAAATGTGTAAAAATGAGTACTTCTTTATTTTAAAATGAGTACTACCTTTTCCAGAATGAGTACTACGTATTTCGAAATGAATGTTTATATTTGTACGAGAATGAGTACTACTTTATTTCAGAATGAGTACTATCGGGATGTACTTATTTCTAGGTACATCCGGATGTACCATATACCAACTCAAATTCTCGTCCACATAACCTTCGTTCGAAGAGTGATTTGACAACTTTTTAGATGCAAATCGAATGGCTTAGAACAGAGCAAACAAATGCCTCTATCTATGCCTTCCACAATTAACAAATCATTATTCCAAAAAAAAATGATGCGAAGATCAAGAGATCAAAGAACGATGTTGATCTCGTTTTGTTCGGATTCAAGAATAGTGTAGTGACCCCAAGGTTCCGTTTGATACACAGAATTCAAGATATGCAATTGAAGTTGGAGACTTCAATTCCAATACAAAAATATGTGGATTTGGAATTGAAATCTAATTACATTACACAAGAAAAGAATTTAAAATTCACAATTACGGGTCAAAATGAAATCTCGTGGATTTTTTCGGGTCATAACAAACAAAACAAATATTATACACCTTGGGTGCATTTGAAAAATGGCATTTGGGCTACCTTTTCACTTCCTTGATTTCTAAAATTTAAAATATTAAAAAATAAAAAATTTAAGATTTAAATGATTAGGAAAAAGAGAAAGAATGAAAGTACTAGTTTTAGAATCCGTTATTTAGGGCTTGAACTCTTAACTTCCAGTTTCTTCCGATTCCTTCCAGTTTCTTCCAGTTTCTTCAAGTTTCTTCCAGTTCCTTCCAGTTTCTTTCCAGTTCCTTCCAGTTTCTTCCAACTATTCTCATTCTCTTCCAACCCTTTCTACTCTCTAACCAATTACTTTAAAAATGATATATTTTTAATGTGATTATTATTATTATTATTATTATTATTATTATTATTATTATTATTATTATTATTATTATTATTATTATTATTATTATTATTATTATTATTACAAGTACTGTGGTCATAATCGCCAGATCTGCAATCCCTCGCCATGTCAGGTCAATGAAAGAGATGATGAAATTCTTTCACAAAATGGAAAAGATGTAGAAAGACCAGGGTGGAGAAAGATGATTTAGGAGAGAAGAAAAATTAGGAGGAAGATGAAGAGAAATAAACTAGAGAGAGGAATAGGAAGAGATGAGAGAGCAAAGAATAAATCTGTGGCCCGCGAGAAAGCTGGTAAAGATAAGAAGGGTATAATAGTCATTCACACTCTCTTTTTTAAAAGTGAGAAGATAGTTTTAGGACGAAAAAAGAGGAAAATAGGAATAACGTTTTAGGATGGAAGGAGTACAAGAATAGGTTCTATTGTAGACCTAAGGTCCACATGGACCTTCTTATACAATTTTTTTATTTTTGATTTTTTAAAATAGTTATTTCAGCACTAGACATCATATACGGCTTATGTATCATATATGAAGGTCCACAATAGACATCATGGACCTCATGTCCATTCAAGAATTTGCCTACTATCAAATAGGAGCACACCCATATGGCCATATGACTTGTCCACATATTCAAGAAGTTAGTTTTAGGACATCCAGGAAGTATAAATACAACAAATTCAAGTAAATCAATATTATCTTATGCATTCGAAAAAAATGTTATCTTATATTTTTAAATGTTTTCATGAGAGAAAAAAACAAAACAAAGTGTAAATAGCCACGGAGATACCACTTGAAACGAGGGTAGTCTTCAATGGCATTCTTCCTTTGTCCCTTCTAAACACCATCCCCTGATAAAATGGCCAAGCATTCAAAACTCCATAGCCAGCAAGAAATATCTGAACCATGAACATGTCCAAAAACTCCCCTTTTAGGATCATTATCTCCCTAACCGCTTTCAGGAACGCAGCGGCATTGATGATTGCAGCGGTTGCTAGAGGCACAAACAAAGGCGATGCTACCCCGAACTCAAAAACGCCATTCTTGTAACATTTTTCTTGCTCTTTGTCCACCACTTTACTTGTCAAGTTGAAGCCTTGTGTGGCTATGCCTAGTTGTTTGCTTATGAACTCGGCGCCTGCAAATAAGTAGCAAGATAATGCCCTCATAAGCCACACCCTTTGGTTGCTCCACCACCTTTGCAATGTCCCGTCGGTCGATATGAAGTCGAAACAGTCTTGTGTGTATGCTCCGATGAAGAGGGAAACATATACAAGAACCCACACATCTGATGCCTGAAACAATATAATAAAAGTAAATTCCACAAATGGTACAGAGTACCTTTTAATAGGTGATCTTTCATATTTAGTTCACAATTTTAAGATATTACATTCGTGGTACTCAATTTTTGAAATATATAATATTACGGAGTAATAGTTGAAATTTTGAATAGTGGATCATGAAAAATCAAAACTAGTAATGATAACATAAATATAAGTACTATGCACAAAAAATTACTCCCTCCGTCCCACTGTATTTGTCCACTTACCATTTGGCACACCATCCAATGCACTTCTTTAATTCATTTTATCTTGTAATTTGTATATTAAAAAAATATAAAAATTATATATTAATAATCTATATGTTAAGACGATTCAAACAAGATCACACATGACTATTTTTATGCTTACACATTGAGAAAATTTGATGAGTCAAAGTGCTTAGATGAACAGTTCCAAAAGTCAAATGTGGACAAAGACAGTGGGACGGAGGTAGTATATATGAAGTAATAAATAAAAAACCACGTCAACAAAATACGGGTTAACTTGTTTTACGAAGGAAATCAAGAAAATATCTTGAGACCGAGAAAAACATTAAGAAAAATAAGGGACAGATGAAGTAATTTCAATTAATTTTATTGCATTATATTAGTACCACTAGATTTACCTTTGGGAAAAGGGGAATTCCATTGAGAAGACAGAGTTGAGGGAGATGAGCATATATAGTCACCGGAATGCACCAAATTGGCCAAAAAGCAAGGTGAGTGTAACAATAGCCCATTATGAAGCCAGCTGTGTGAGTGCCATATGTGAGTGGAGAATATTTTGAGAAAGCCACTTCGCAAAGGCCAACACCCCATCGCTTTTGCTGGCTTAGCATATCACTTAGAGAAATGGGTATGTTACCAAGAAAAGCTGGCCTCTTTGGGTTGCAATACACCGAATTCCATCCTTCACATGTAAGTCGGTAGCCGGTATAAATGTCCTCGACTATGGTTCCATATTTGAATCCCATCTGCACATTTCAAATTATATTTCACGTGTGATTAACTTAGTGAATGGTTTAGCATCTTTTTAAAAAGAGCTTCCCCTTGTGAGTCGTTACATTAATTTACTTCTTCCGTATTTGTCTAGTTTGACTCTTTACAATTTAATCAAACAAACTTTAATTCCTAATTAAAAAGACTTGCATTGCATATTTATAGGACAAACAACTTTTTGAAAACTTTTTGCAAGATAAATCTAATAAAACAAATTTTTAATGAGGTAAAAATAATTTTGGCCCCTCTAAGTGCACTCATGAGTCACTTTAGTCTATGTATGTTGCATTTAGTCAAACTAGTTCTTATAGCTGAAAATGTGATTCAAGTTAGTCCCTCTAACGGAGTTTACCTTAACGATTCTAATTACTGAAACAATGACTTGCGAGTCTCGTGGCCAATTAAGAATGTTATTGCTCTGGTGTCCATTAACTTGCCAACTCGACATCTCAGTGTCACCGCTAACATAAATTGTTTAAGAGGGACTAATTCGACTCACATTTTTAACTATAGGGACTAATTTGCCTTAGCGCAAAACATACATACACAAAATGGACTCATGTTGTGAGTAGAGAGACCAAAATGAATATAAATTTAATTTTTAGTTAATATTTAGTATAAATAAATATATTTAATTCATTATCAAAATTCCTCTAGTTTGACATGAAAAGTTAAACTCGATGATATTTTTGATACATTTACTCATCTATAATGTAGATGTAAATAAATACTCCCTACGTCCCATAAAAAAGTTTCACATTTTCTTTTTCGTTCGTCCCAAAAAAGATTCCACTTTTAGAAAGAATTTGTGGTCTTTATAACTCTTCTCTCATCTGCATCACTTTCAATCACACGATTTCACTTTTCTTGATATCCATACAGAATCAAACGTGGAATATTTTTTTGGTACAAAGAGAGTATAATGAAAGAAATACTTACCTTGGAACCCCATCCACTCTCATCCTCAAAATTGCAACTTGCTACTTTATTTGCAAGCTCTAAAATTTCACAAGACTGGAGGGAATTTTTCACAGTATAATTCGGACTTAATTCTGGAATTTCAGGCTGGACAAAATCAGATGGGCCGCCAAAGAATGTTCTGCGCCGGAAGAAACATCCAGTCCCATAATAATTTGGGCCTGAGAAGCCGTCCATTCCCATTGTGTTGATCTGGAAAAGATGTTTGTGCTCACTTCCATATATGTCAGCCTTGTTGAGCCCATGAAACCGTTGAGGAAACTGAACATAACCCAAATGTGGCCGCACAGAAGAGTCCATAAAATAACACAAAGCCCGTTTAGGCGTTGAAGGATTATTGGAGTACATGTCACAATCCAACGTAAGGATTATTGGCGCATTTGTCATGACACCCGACACTCGAATCTTGATTAAGATAAACAAATAAGCGTTAATAAACCGTGTTAGTAAAAATTAGTACAGTTCTCATGTCAATAATTTTTAACATCCACAAACATGTGTGTGTATCATGAATGTGTGAGTCTGTACGTGACTATGTATTACACGTATGTTGTGCATGTATAAAGGAATGTTGAAGTAAAAATTAGTGTTCCACTGTTCTTATAGTAAATGAGAACAAATCTGGGGCAATAATTATTTAAAAAATGGAAGAACTAAGTCAATTATTTATGAGATACGCAACGTAAGTAGAATTATAAACTGTGGAATTTAATTTAGAATGATTAATGATACAAATTGCATTATTGAATATAAAATAGTACAGAGTAAAACGTAGTTCCAGTGTACTGACGAGATAATTACTGTACCTTCTTGATAATGCAAGTTTTCTTTTTCACATGAGTTCACTCTTTAACATAAAATTGCACTTTAGAGTTTGTGGCTGCGTTATTTCTCCTTAGTGAATTTGCAGTAAATAATACTCCCTTTGTTCCAAAAATGACTCATTTTTTTTGAGACGTCCCAAAAGAGACTCTTCTTTCCATTTATGGCAAATTTTTTGTGGCCCAACATCTTTCTCTCCCCTCTACATCACTTTCAACCACACAATCTCACTTTTCTTAAACATTGTCCCAAACCCAATTGGGAGGCTTTAAATGGGATGGAGGGAGTATTATAAAGCCAACACATTTCCCTAAGATAACAAAAACCCTGAGCCCTCACCGGTGCTTGTTCTGGACACTACAATAATTTATCAGAACTTGCCTAAGATTATAGAACTCTCAGAGTAAAACTTGCCCATGGATGAAGGTTTAGACGATGATATATGCATAACAGAATGGAGGATGAAGAAGAAGACTACGACGAAGATCATTTACAGATTGAGCAAGAGAGCAATTGATAAAGGCTTTTGAATTTAATCAGTTTTGAGGATCCTGGGGAGGACTCAATTCACCATAAATGCCTCGTCAGAGTTAAAGATTTTCCAATATAAAAAATAAAACGAGGGAAGAGTACTATGAGGCTCAACCTTTGACAGATGATTTTCTTATTTCCTTTCCCAAGGTTGTCTTAGTGTGTTTTCATGTGGATTCCTGGATAAACTTTTGAATTGTGTGCATCACTTTCACGTTAAAGTAGTTTTCTTGGTACTCTAAAAAATTTTAAGCGTATACAACGAAAGGTTCAAGAACGACTATGATTTTTCTGTGTTGCAAAGCTACAAAATCTAGCATATATACAACGTGCAAATAGCATGTTCGTTGTGGTGAACCATCACAACCTTTCAGTTGATGGTTAAACGATTTTGGTGAAGTGTTTGAATATTGGTGTTCCAAATTTCCGTGAAGCTTTTTCAAAAAGCATTTAATCTGATGAATCTTTCATAAGGCAACACTTACCAAATAAAAATTTTAACTTGACACCAACCAAAGGGTCTGCCCCTTACCCTGCTACCGGGGCCCTTGCCCCCTTGGAACCCTGTTTAGGGACTTGCCCGTAAGAACCATAGAGGTTCTTAAGTGCTTCAAAACATAATATTATTGAACAAGTGTACTCCAAACCTCCTAACTTATATCAAAGTCTATTATGATTTCATGTCTAGTTTTTAAGTAAATCTCAATTATCCAAAATAGCCTGATGACAACAAAATCACCAACATTCCTACCCTATTTTAGTGTATCCTTGATTTACTTAACTTTCATATGCTCATAACATGCCATAAGCTCATAACAGAATCACAAACTTATGCATAAATAAAAAATACCGCATCAATTGAACTTTGATCTTAGTAGTTAGTATATTACACATTTCAAGCATTCGAATATAAGGGGGTCACTAAGGATTGAAATCTTATAATATACACAAAATTTTAACATACTCATTTGTTCTACTTGACACTATATTTTACTAGCATAATGTTCCTATCCTTCAATCTCCTCAACTTGCAAGTATAAACACATACTTTGGGGTGATGTTACACGTGCGTTCCAACCTCAAGAGTTCCAAATCCATTTAAGCACCAAATGTTGTATAAGGTTTGAATTTTGTATCTTAATTCTTATCAATATTTCTTTTTAACCCTTTGGTTAGATGAGCTGCTAGTTTATGTTGAGTTCTAACAAACTCTACTGATATCACACCATGCATGATGAGCTCACCGAGTCACCGATCATGATATGTCTTGATATGACTACAGACCTTTTGGCGACTACATGGCTATTTGCTTGTCTACTTCTCTTAGCACATCATATACCACGATTATAGCATTCAAACTTAACTTTGTTATTCAGATACTTATCTCCCCAGAACAAACGGGTTTTATGAAGGGGAGTGATATCTTGAATATATTTTGCTTGCTAATGAGATGGTTCATTTAATTGAAAAAAAAATATGGGTTTCAATGTTATCCTAAAGCTTGATATAACCTTTTATTAAATATGCTCGTATCACACCCGTGCGTTGCACGACTCATATTTACGTTTTGAAATTATATTGGTGTCATTATTGAAGAATAAAAAAAGACTACATAATGAGATATAAAGCTGTAAAGCATGAATATCAAATGAATTACAAATTTTGGAAAACTTCTTTATAAACTACATTGGTAGTTTGGTACTCGTGAATCATTGATTACAACCTCATGTTTTTTGTTAAACGCAACATAGTGCAACGTTTCCATATGTAGGAAGAATTAATCGTTGAATTAACAATATCTTGTCTGGTCCATTTTGGAATTACCGGCAATATTTGACGAAAATCTCCACCAAAGACAATTGTTTCCCCCCCTAACATTTGATTTTCACTCATTCGATTGGAAGATCATAGAATATCGCGCAAACTTCTATCTAAAGCTTCAAAGCAATACTTATGTGTCATTGGTGTTTCATCCCAAATAAATAACTTTGTCTTCATTTAGAGTTGTGCTAGTGAATTCCTTGTTTTATGTTGCAAGCTGAGTTTTCATCCGGGTTCAACGGAATTTTAAAACGTGAATCGGATGTTCTTCCACCATGCAAAAGTAATAATGTTATTCCACTTGATGCGACAATCAATCCTATATTTCCTCCAGACTGTATTGCAGCAAATAAAGTTCTCCAGTTCCTCCGTACCTATAGAGGAAGAAAACTTTACCTGTATTTGTATCAACGGAATGCATCATAACGTCACACGTTGCGCATTGTTCATCATTTAACGTACCCAAAAGAGTGATGCGCTCACTTGTTAAGGCTACACCATTCTTTTTATGTGTGTGTGTGAGAGAGAGAACACGCAATTCTAGGCTATAAAATTAGAATCGCAGATTCTAGATACTTGAATGCATTTATTTCTTTGTTTTAATACTCATGAATCATTTTATTTATAAGGATACGATTGGCCTAATTGTAAATAATCACTTTGCGAAAATCAAGGTCGTTTTTTGCTTTAGGTCCCCTTTTTTATATTTATATGAATTTTAAATTAAAATTTGTACTCCCTCCATTCCTATTTAATTGTCCGGTTCGCTTTTCGAACTTTAAGTTTGACCTACAATCTCTTAAAATATATTAGGAAAAAAAATATTAATGATAGTAGTATAATACATTTAAACTATTTTTCGATACCAATAATTTGGTATAATTTTTATATTTAAATTCATTGCATATTTTTATATATAGTTAGTCAAACGTTTAACATGCAAAGCGAAACAGACAGTTATATAGGAATGGAGGGAGTATCTAATATTAACTAAAATTATAGTAATAAAATTTTAATTTATGATACTCCACCTATTGTTATTAATACTCCACCTTCTATTATCAATTCTACACCTTTTTGTTATATTATAATTATTTTTATTATTATTACCCGACTTCATTCTTTTTTCCCATTAACCTTTTTTAATATTTCTTTGAAATTAAAAAAAAATAAAATTTAACTATAATAAGAATTATATTATTATTATTATTACTCCACCTATTATTATTAAGAGTATACTTTTTCATATCAATGCTCCACCATTTTTATAGTAATTATATTATCATTATTGTTATTATTATTAATACCTAACTTCATATTTTCATCCCATTGACTGCTTTTATATTTTTTCTTTAAATTAAAAAAAAATTAGTTTATATATTAATGTTGGAAATTGTGTTGAACTTTGAATTTAATACTTTGTAAATCCATTTCTCCTTGAGCATAAAATTTTTATCTTTACCATAGTGGAACATGCAATGCTAATGTTGGAAAAAAAATTACAACATTTATTTTATAATCTCAAAATTAGATTTCCTTTTTTTCCTTATACACATAATAAGGAATATTATAATATAAGTTACCATTTATATATTACCATTACGGTACATGAAATATTATCATTTATATATTATTTATTTTATGTTAAGAAATAAGGAACATTACTTTGAGTCTAATATTCCCCTTTTTCATTATACATATAATAATAAAATGTATTTATATACTACCATAAAATGCTACCTTAATTATATAATCCAAAGTCAATGGACGGGAAAAAGGGGTTAATATTTCCTTTGCTTTAAAATAAACTATTGATTAAATATTAAATTATGAAGTATTTAATATACTATCTCTGTTATAGAATTTTCATCCCGTTTGACTTTTTTAGTCAAATTGGATGAACCTAGGATCTCAATTGAATAAAAATTGTAATGCATATAAGCATATTAGTATAAAAATGATTTAATTATAATTATTTTGTTGAGAACTTTCAAAATTGTATTTCATTGTATTAATATGCAATACAAACCGAGAGTAATTGATTATTTAAGTTCGTCCAGTTTGACTCATAAAGCCAAACTAGACGAATACACTATATTATAGATAAACATCCGATTTATTTTTTTTATAGGGGTGTGTGCACGCAGACCTTACCCCTACTCGAATGTATAATTGTATATAGGTTGTTTCCACCGAGAGACTCTCATATACAAATACTCCTTGTAATACTTCAAATTCATCATCGAATAATACAATTCTTCACCTTTGATAGAGTCAGTTTGGGCTATTTAAGGGTTATTATCAAGTTGTGATTCTCTACTCACTACTGAGTTCTAAAGATTCATCTTTAATTATCTAGAGGGGACACACATTTCCATTATGGTCAATAGAGTTCAAACTTGTTTTTTCCAACATGGCTGAGAGATTAAATAGTGGGATCCCCTTCTCCCTTCTTTTCATTCTAGCTTTTGAAGGTTTTAGATGGGGGAGTTAAATTTCTTATGCAGAGTGTGCATATTAAATAATTTGCAATTGGGGGACTTCTTTTTTAATATCATTTGGGATGTTGATGAAACTTTGATCTTCCTTAACATATGGACCCATTGATACTCTATATGTTTAAAAGATCCTTATGAACTGTCACCTAGCATCTGGGCAGCTTGTATGTTTTGGGAAAAGCTATTTTGGTACAACTTCTAAGCTGCCAAGTCCTAGACCCAAGGCAATGGAGAAAGCACTTGACATGCCTACTACCAGCAGCTTCCTATCAAATAGCTTGGTTCTTAACTTTTTTAAAGGTATTAACAGAGCAAATATTGCACGAAATTATTGGCACACTTAGATGCAAAGCTTAATTGATGGTATAGAAAACTTCTTAATCAAATTGGTAGGCATATCCTTATTAAGCATGTTCTGTCAATTATAGTGTCACTTAACAGGAAGATGGCTAGATCTCTTTTGGAGTTCATCTCCTTTTACTTCTAAACATCATTGGATATCTTGGTCTAAGTTAGGCTATCCTATAGAAGGGGGTCTAGAATAGGTCTATTATAGCAAAGTAGCAAACTATGGTGAAATTTTCATTTTAAGTTTAACAAGTGGTGTTCCTATATGCTACCTAAATATGGTAAAAGTAGAAGGGGAGATTTTTATCCTAGGATTTTTTATTCACCTGATTGGAAGAGGATACGTGGCATCCATGACTTCTATAAGTCAAGATGTTCTTTTTCTAAGGATGGTCCAATTTGGTCTACAACCACTAACTAATGGGATTTACACTTTAAAACGCCTATGAGGAATGCAAATTTACTAAGCCCACTCTTCTCTCTCAGAGAGTTATATGAAACACAACACAACATGCTTCTGCTAACTTGTTTCTTTGGAAAGTGTATCGTGGTGGTATACCAATAGTGGACAGTTTGGCAAAATTCATGTGTAGTCATCCCTCAATCTGCCCCTTGTATAGTCAATCTTGCTCCAACATAGACCACATTCAACTGTAATGCTCAAAAATTAGGGCTGCCTGGAACAAGTTTGTTACTATTGTAATAGGTCAATATCCTAACAAAACATGTTTAAAATCTTATGAAATGGTGGTTGAATACAAACAGTAAGACCTTAGAGGATCTGATTCATATTATTGCTCGGGAGATTATTGTTTAGCGTATCTAGATTCTAGAAAGCCTATACAAGAACTGTTTATGGATTGGAATTCTTCATGTATTTCTACAGGCATTTCTCTCATTCTCAAGCACAAAGAGTTAAACGTTCTAAAATGTAATTTACCTCCTTCAGGGAAGTTTAAATTGAATTCCCGGATGCTGTAATTGGAAGATCTTGTGCAGCGGGTGGAGGAATCACCACACCGCTCTAGGCAGAAGCTCAAGCAACAATCATCGGTTGGATCTTCTTCTCCCTTCAATTTTGCAACTTTGATATGGAATCTGATTGTCATGCTTTGACTCCGGCCTTCCAAGACGAAGATGGAGCTCATGGCAATCCATCTTAGTGTTGACTGTTGAGGAGGATACAGGATGCTTTTGAAGGAAAGCTTCACCTCACTTTGGGATTTGAAAAGAAAGACAAATACTCCTCCCTCCGGCAAAAAACTTTCTAAGAATAAAGTACTATAAAGTAGGATGTAAAGCATAAATAGGATATAATGGATAAATTAATAGAGAAACAGTGTGATGTGATGTGATATGTAGGTTAAGAATTATTAAGGGTAAAAGTAAGTTTTTAATAGAGGAAGGCTTTTTGGGACGGATGAAAAAGGAAAAGAGTAGGGTTTTGTGGGATGGAGGGAGTAGGAGTTATATTATAATAAAGTATAGGACGGTTCCCATGACATTACCTTACAATGTCATGAGACGACTAGAAGACGTTTTGGTAATTCGTTCGTAAAATTGACAATTCTTACCCCTAACTCCCCTATAAACGCACTCACCATATCCTGACCCGAACACACCCCTCTAACTCTTGATTCTCATGACATTGCCCGATAATGTCATGGAAGCCCCCACCGAATAAAGTAATATTTGGAAGAAAGACAAATGGAAGTATTAAATTTTTAAACATAAATAAAAGTTATATCATTTTAAAGTAATAAATTTTTCTTTATTTAATAATAGGGGCATACTAGGGGTACACCAGAATGAGAAACCCCATTTGTACACTAGGAAAATAGAGACAAACACAGACATTTAGTGTCTCTAATCCACAGACACTAAGTGTCTGTGATCTATAAACACTAAATATCCGTGTTTATCTGTGTTTGCTTGGTATACAAATGGGGTACTCCATTTTGGTGTACCCCTAGATTTATTCTTAAATAACACTTTTGTATTTTATTGCCACATTAATACCCTCTGACGCCAAACTGTCACCTCTATCGTCGTCACACTACCAACTATGTCGCCACATTATCATCTTTTTCACCACACTACCACCTCCGCAACGACACTGCCACTCTCTCCACCATATAGTCAGTGTCATACTACAACCATCACCATCATACTGCCACCTACACATGTCACATTGTCACCCTTTCTGCCACCAATTCCACATGGCAACTTCCACTACCACACTATCACCTCCATCGCCACACCACCACCCTCTGCGTTATACCACTGCCACCGCCATCCCAAGAAAAAAATTAACGCTTCTTTATTGGATTGGTCGTCAAACATCAGTGAACATGGAGAATTGGTCGCGCTTCAAACGAGATTAAGTACGCTGGCTTACGACAAATGCACCGGTAGATTCTAACCATAACTCTATGGTTGGCTGTGATGAGACTAAAGACGGTTTACTACTAGCTAAAAGTTGAGAAGGGAGACGTGAAGCTTAAACAGATTGCAGCTTTTTTTGTCCTTATTGGTGGGTGTAGCCACGACTTTGTCGGTGTTGATTTACCCCATCTGAAAATTACATGGTTTGAAAATAGAAAATACGAGGAAGATATGCACTTTGGAGACGGGGGATGTGTTGACAGAGGGCCATGGAAATAACAAAAAAAGGTGTGAGATTGCATTTTGGGCTTTTAGGTTACGGGGGCAACTCTATATTAAAAACATAAAAACTAATAAAAGTCCTACTTTGGACATTTTCATCAATTTAACTCCTATTTGAGGAGATCTTTTCTTTCTTTTTTCACCCTAGGAGGCTAATTCAAGGAAACAGTTTTCACCTAAAAGAATCTTATGTTGAGCACATGTGGAGCACCAGTAATTTCATATTTTAAATATTTTTTTAATAAGGGAATTGAATCTTAGCTAAAATATCTCTTCTAATATGGCATGCTCAATGATATTCTTTCTATGTTTTCTCACTTATGATCTTCCACATTTTTTAATGTACCTGACCCACTTATTCATATACCCGAGTAATTGTTGTTAGGCTCAAAAGGCTATGCTCGTTCTTGTCATTGCATTTTCATCGGATATCCTATTGATAACAAACAGTGGCATCTCCTCGACTTAGAAACTAATCAATAATAAAATCTTTTTAAGTCAAGGAATCAAATTTTCCTTGCGCTTAGATAATGTTTCTTCTTTCCTCACTTCTTCTCTAGAACCCACCCATCTCAATGATGACACCCACCCACTACCATCTATAGTATCTAAGACCCAGCTCAGTCAAATGAACTATCAACCCCGCCTTCTACCCCATCGGCCATGGCATCTTACATTATTCACCATCTATCTGTTGTATCCACTCATCAAATTTTGTCATCAAGTACTACTCACTATATTACTAAATTTGTTAGTGGTTATTATTTTTTTCTTATCCAATATATTTTCTTTGCAACTATAAATGCAAATTTTGAGCCCAATATTTTCTCTAGTGCCATTAAATACCTTCTAGTGAAAAGCAATGTAAGAGGAGATTAATGGTTTGGGAGCTAATGGTACTCGTTGTCTTGTCTCATTATCTCCTGGTTGGAAGATAATTAGTTCCAAGTGGGTATTCTAAACAACACAGAATTGGATTATTGAGGGTTACAAAGCACTTGTGGTTGTTCTTAGCAACTAGCAAAAGGAAGGTGTGAGATTCAAAGAAACATTTGCCCCGATCGTAAACCTTGTCATGAACCGGGCTATAATCGTGGTAGCTAAGGCACGTCACTGAATATACACCAAATGGATGCCCATAATGCTTTTTCTTTTTATGGATATTTCTAAAGAAGTTTGCATGTGCTTTTCTCCTTGTTTCAACTTGTTCCACAAAGGGATGATATATTAATTGCAGAAGTCCCTCTATGGGTTGTATGCACCGCGATGCTTTTTTTCTAAAATATCCTTTTCCGAACAAGCCTTTGGCTTTGTTCAATCAAATGTGGGCTACTCTATTTTCACATATATCCAAGGATACATCAAGATTTTTGTGTTCATATATGTTGATTGACCAGTGATTGCAAGAAGTAATGAGTCTCTCTTTGCCCGCTTCAAGAAGTATCCATCAAAGTGCTTAGCTATCACGTGAAGGATCATGGTTAGCTAAAAAACTTTTAATGTACTGAGGTTGCAGGGAATTCCTTTTTATATAGTAAGAGCGTAATGCAAACAAGGAGATTTCTATTTTTACGAATATAAGAATTATGCAACTTAGGAAAGAGACTAAACTAAATCTCAAAGGGATTTGGTTTCCTTCTTCTAATATCTCACGCCAACACCCCCTCAAGCTGGAGCATGGGGGTTTCGAATGTCCAGCTTGGGCAAGACATAATCAAATTATCTTTGTTTCAAATGTCATCTTAACACTTCAACAAATAAATTTTCTTTCTCTTCAACGCAGACGCCACTCGTTTCAAATCCACTGAATAATCAATTGAGTAAAGAAACGTCATTATTTTCAAACCTTCATCGAATTCAAGCAACAGGACAAACGTCATTCTTTTCGAACATCCCGAATGCCATTTTTTTAGTTTTCAAATTGAAGAAGTTATCCTCATTCTGCAGAACACCCCTTATAGGATGATTTCTTCTAGAGTAGTGTGTGATTCCTTAACAATCATGTTCTTTGCCAAGAAGGAACAACCATCTGCCATATCCACTTTATGGATGACGTGCACTGACGCAGACTCTAGCGTACTTACGAAGGTTGCCATGGCGGTCAAGGCTGTCGTAGATGGCGCTATGCCGGTCGAACGCAACAAATAGGCACACTCATCCATTATTCAAGGATGAAAATAAAAGATCACAATATCCCGTTGGCAAGTATTGAAGTATGTATGCCCACCGGCAGGAGAGTGGAAGGGTGTTTGAGGTCTCAAAAATTGAAAACTTGCTCTAATACCATGTAGAAAATAATAATGGGAAAATATTTTTGCATTGAATTGTCTTGTGATTAGAAAAATCTAATGCTCTTTATATAGTAAGAGGGTAAAGCAAACAAGGAAACTTCTATTCCTAATAAAACAAGAATTATGCAAACTAGGAAAGATACTAAACCAAATCTCAAAGGAATTCAATTTCCTTTTTCTAATATCTCACGCCAACACTTTTCGTGCCCGCAAAAAATATGCTTTGAATATTCTCTCTGAGATCGATCATTTGGAGCATGACCAGCAAATTAACAGGCCTCTCCCACCTAATTGCTATCTCTCCCTAGCCGAGGGTGTGTTTCTTTTTAATATAGAAAGGTAAAGAAATTTAAACAAGCATCTTATTTATTTGAACATCACGCGACTATTTTTAGGATGTTAATCTCTCTCAATTTTCGGGTATGCCACCACGAGAGCACTAAAATTCCCCATTACATGTTCTCCAATATGTATGACCTCTTTTTACCTACTGATTGTTACTTAATTCACACTACTTTTGTGACTCTTTTTGTCACTATGACTACGATGGGTTCTCTTTTACTCACCGCTTTATGACGGGTTATTTTGTGCGCTTGGGTGCCTTGCCTCTCCTATATCTTGGGGGACAAAGAAAAACCTAATTGTCTCTCCTTCTTTCGTAGAAGCAAAATCAGCCCCTACGGTATGTTGAACTCAAGCGACTCAAATAACTTCTTGTCTCTCTTGATGTTGGTCATTCGACGCCCATGCAGCTGTTCTGCAAATTCAGACCACTTTGTACATAGCCACCAGTCTTATATTTCAGGGACACGCAAAGTACATTAAAGTGCTTGCTCATGTGTCGTTCGCTCATTTTCTATCTAAGTTAGGCACCCAGAATCTGCATACATGAGCTTGAGGGGGTGTTATGAAATATCTTCGGAATTTCTTCTCTCAATAATATTATTCCTTCCTTCTTATTCTTTGGTATTTTTGTGGCACTTGAATTTTGGTAGAAATTGATTGTTATCATTTATATTTTCTCTTCTCCTTATTTAAAGAAGGAATGGCCTTTGTAATGAGCAAAATATTAGAATGCACAAATATTGTTCTACTATTATTCTATCAAATTAAATACACATTATCCTTAAAAAAAGAACATTGCCTCTTAATGATAAAAATTTCCGTATACTCTAAAAATAAT